GTGGCCAAAGAGGGGAGGGAGGCAGACGGGGGGGAGGGGGAGGGAGGGGAGAGGTTCTGGATGCAAGCTGGGTGGGATAGGAAGAAAGAGGAGGTATCGGGCAGTATAGCCCCTGCAGGATGACCAGGAAGTGTAGGAGGGATGAGGAACGTCTAAGTTCCCTGTTCCGGGCTTCTGCCGCACTCACTCACCCCAATGATGGCTCTCCCAGTGCCCAGAACAGATCTGGATCTCCATGCTGCTTGGGTAGCTCGTAAACAAAGGGCCTACCTTGCTTGCTGCAGGCAGGCTATGGAGACAAAGGCTACTTTGTATTTTTTTTTGGCATCATGAAATCAAATTAATTTATGAACTTGTTTCTTTTCTTGTTCTCTTAAGTTTCATTGAACTGTTTCTTTCCTTTTCTTTTTTTTGCCATTTTCCCCTAAAATCTTTTATGAAGATTATTATTATTCTTTTAAATTCCTTCTTCTGTGCTTTATCAAAGTAATTCTCATTGGCGAATATTTTGTTAGAACTAGCACATTTTGGAGAGGAGATACGTAATTGATCATTTACAGTGTTCATATTTTTTCAATGAGATCTAGTCATGTGGCCTTTCGTTATCTCTGTTTCTGATATGGATAGTGCAGTTTGGTGCTGAAGAAAGGATGTGGTAGCATGTGGGGGGTCTAGAGATTTGGTTTGGCTTATTAGGAGGAAGGCAAGTCGAGTGAGCTGCCTGAGCTGGTGTGGTGAATGTGGATCATCCACCCTTAGTGTGGAAGGTGTTCTGGTTGAATTATAGTGGGAGGGGTCTATAGGTTAATGACGTAGGTGGGGAATGTCCTGGAGGAAATCTGGAGTTAGATTTTGTTGCGGGTATTGGTGTTTAGACTTGGCCAGGTTGATCTGAAGAGTTGGAGAGGATGTGTGGTATGGAGGATCATGCATACTCAGTGGGACACACACTAGAAAATAATATGGGAGATTTGTCTGGGTAGATAGGCTTGATGTAGAATCAGCAAATCAGATTGTTTGAAAAATATTTATTGAATTCATTCTCTGAAAATATAATAGTTTTATTCAATGTGTATCAATCTCATATATACTGTTATTTTTCTCTTGAATTAACACAATGATTATTTTATTCATTTTAATCCCTACTTAATGTGCTATTTTATTAGTATTATTATTGTTGTTGTTGTTTTTGTTGTTGTGGTTAGTAATAGGTCAATGAGTCTAAAAAGAGCTGTTAATGGGTAAAATTTTATGGTTCCATCCACTGTGACAATGGTAAGACACTATTGACCATGTTTTCACCAAAGGAGTCCCTCCCTTTTCCAGTGACAGTCAACTTCCAATGATGTCATAATGTTGTTGTTTTTTTTAAATTAAGATGGTTAGGATAGTAAGTACTGGAGAATGGAAAGTTTACCCTTGACCACTTTACTGAAGAAAATGACTCCTCCTCCTCAAGCAACCATTTTAGGCCACTTGCCTCTCACGGAAGTCTGAGTCCTTATAATGCTTTCTTCTCTCCAGACAGGAATGTTAAAAAGTTCACTTTTCTACAGGCATTTTGGGGCTATATGCATCAGTTTCAATTCATATTTGCATTGGTGCTTTATACCCATGTAGTAGTAAGAGCGGAGGCGGGGCTGCGTCCCCAGCACCCCGGCCACCTGCTAGCTTATGCCCCAAAATAACAGCACACAAATTGTTTCATTTAAACACTGCTTGGTCCTTTAGCTCTAGCCCTTACTGGCTAATTCTGATATCCCGATCAACCCATCTCTAATAATCTGTGAGCACCGGTCTTACCGGGAAGATTCTAGCCTACATCCATCCTGGGTCGGAGCTTCATCGCGTGTGTCTGCCCGGGAGAGGGTCATGGCGTCTCTGCTCCAGAGAGCAGAGCTGTCAGTCTGAGCTCACTTCCTCTTCCTCCCAGCATTCTGTTCTGTTTACTCCTCCCACCTATGTTTTAACCTATGAGGGCCAGCCAAGCAGTTTCTTTATTGCTTAACCAATGAAATCAACAGATTGATATATGACACTCCCACATTGTTGGGGACCAAGAAGCCCCCTGATCCAAAGTGCTGATCACTCTTCCCCATTCCCTCTGCAAAAATAGATTACTGCAGAACAGCCTATTGCACAATCAGCAATAGGTCTTGGGACAGAATTGACCACAGACCTTTTGATGAGACATTACACATATAGCTGTTGTCTTTTGACACGTCCCGTGGTCCAGAGACATTACCGATAGCACAAATTTAGCTGGAAGCGTCTTGTGGTTAGGGTATTTTATGAAAAATTACTACTTCCCCTTTGGCCTTGAGCATCCTAGTTTTCCTTCCCCTCCAACCTTACTCCTCCCTGCCAAAACTGCTCTATAAGAATAAATCACTGGGGGGCTGGAGAGATGGCTCAGTGGTTAAGAGCACTGCCTGCTCTTCCAAAGGTCCTGAGTTCAATTCCCAGCAACCACATGGTGGCTCACAACCATCTGAAATGAGGTCTGGGGCCTTCTTCTGGTCTTCAGGCATACACGCAGAAAGAATATTGTATACATAATAAAATAAATAAATAAATAAATATTTAAAAAAAAAGAATAAATCACTGCTTGCAATAAACGGAACCTTGACGCATTTCAGATTGACTCTGTCATTCTTTGCTCGCACTTGGTTCTCTTTCTCTTTCCCTCCCTTCCTACCCAGGTGATCCCGAACTCGAGGCCCACGAATAACCTGGCCTGTAGGACGGGTCAAGTGGCGCCCAACGTGGGGCAGCTCGAGGGTCGGTGGTCGCTGGACAGCCCCCAATTGAAGGAAAAAGTGTTCCAGAACGTGCTCTGGTAGAGACGTCCTGCATCACTCATGCAGCGTCTTGAGGTAAGTTCGGCTGTCTTATTAGGATGGGTAAGTCGGCTTCTAAGGAGGCCCTCTTTATAAGGGAGATAAAGAGTACATTACGGGAAAGAGGAATAAGAGTTAAGAAAAAGGACCTCCTACAATTTTTCTGTTATACCGAGGAGAAATGTCCTTGGCTAGTCTTAAATGGCCCGGACATTCACCCCCTAACATGGAATGAGGTAGGAAAGAGTATTAATGAACTTTTAAGAAAGGGTGAGGAGGTCCCTGAAGCATTTTTTAGTTTCTATGGCATAATTAGAGACATTCTTAAAGATTCAGAAAAGGAAGGGAAAGTTTCACATCTCCTGGCGCTGTTTGAGGATTTTCTTAATGAGGACCAGAAATCAAATGAAACTACTCAGTCAGCTTTGATGACTTCCTCCAAAACCGCACTTCAAAAACCAGACCTCAAACAGATTGTGTTTATAGATAAGTCCTCCTCTCCAGCCCCCTCCCTCTTAGATGAAAAGATTCCTAAGAATCTTACAAATCTCCATTTGCCCTTTACTGAGAAATCACCTGCAGAGGCTGCATCCTCGCCTTCTCTCTACCCTGTGATTCATGATGTTGATAGCGAAGACGGGTTAGATACAGCTGAGGAAACGGATTTAGAGGAAGAGGCTGCTGCCTATGAAAGGGAAAAGTATAATCCGCCTTTTGTAGCTCCCATAACAGCCCAGGAAAGAAAGAACAGCCCTCGGAGACTTGTATGGTCTCAGCCACCCCCTTATGCGCCCCCTCAAGATTATCAGACTCAGCCATCAGCCCCTTCCTTCCCTATGACTTTGCCTCCCTACACCATGGAGACTCCCGGCCTGGATGGCCTGCTGGCCACTAAACGGTCCCTTGTCAGTCAGATTTCCCAATTGAGAGGTGTTATTTCCTTGCAAAAGGAACTTAAGGATCTGAACACCCAGGTCCACACTCTACAAATTGATCTCCTGACACCTTCCTCACCTCCTGGGTTGCTAGAACCTCCAACTGAAAATGGGCGGACAAGTTACCGTAGTCTTAACCGTCTGGGAAAAGACAACCCGCAGGCGGTTGGGGCTGCTGGGACCCGTCCATCCAAAGCTCGTTCCACCTCTGCCAAGCAGCACCTTGCCTTCCTGGTCATGACTAGATCTAAGGGAGTAGCATCTGGTTTAAATGTTGAACATGCTGAGGACAAGGAAGGATCCCAGTCTGAGGAAGAGGAAATAGAAGAGGCACAGGAGGAGAACGAGATTCAGGAAGAGACACAGGGGGATACCCCGACAGGTAGCTCCCGCATCATTAAGACTCTCAAAATCAAACATTTAAAGGAGCTGCATTCCGCTGTTAAGAACTATGGCCCAGCAGCTGATATAGGACTTTTCATGACAATGAGACACTCTGCTCCTGGCAGCACCAATCTACTTCAAGAAGAAGATAGGCATCGAAGAGGATCCTTATGGAGTTTGATAGCCATTTGGGCAAGAAACTGTTCTTGACTGGACTGTTGCATAAACTGGACAAAGAGAACCCACAGAGAGAGGACTACTAAACTTGCCTAAAGGTGAGACGGTCTTTTGGGGTTCATGACTCATGAAAGAGTCTGCGAGACATTCTACAGGACACAGCAGATAGTGACTGGACTGTCTTTGAAATTTCCTGCTTCATGGAAATGTCTGCTGGATACTATGGGCCTGAAGGCTGAAGATGGATGCCCCAACCGTACAAAAGAACTTTGGGTGACTGTCCAGGCAGCGAGATGTCTCTGTCATTTCTAGAGTTTTCTTATTTCTTGTTTACTTAGGTAGTATTATATCCTTCTGGAGTCTTTGATGGAGTTGAAGAATGAATAGATAGTTATAGTTTTCCTTAGTTATGATAAAAGATAAAATAGATATAAATATTGTAACTGTAATTCTTGTTTGATAACTGTTTTGCTATATGTAATTTTACTATGTTAAAGTTAAAGCCTTTCTTTTTTGTTTAAACAGAAAAAGGGGAAATGATGTGGGAGTGATTTCTTATTAATAAAGAAACTGCCTAGACCCATTTGATAGGCCAGCCCTTAGGTAGGCGGAGTAAACAGAACGGGAATGCTGGGAGAAAGAAGCTGATTCAGGAAGTCGCCATGATTCTCCCACTCCAGACAGACGCAGGTTAAGATCATTCCTGGTAAGCCAGCTCGTGGGCTACACAGATTAATAGAAATGGGTTAGATCAATATGTAAAAGCTAGCCAATATGAAACTGAAACTAATGGGTCAGGCAGTGTTTAAAAGAATACAGTTTCCGTGTAATTATTTCAGGTAAAGCTAGCCATGCGGGCGGCCGCGTGCCAGGGACGCAGCCCTGCTGCTCGTAACACAACAAGCAGCCCCATTTACCCTGTCTATTCTTGAAGGCTTAGGGCAAGGGGGAAACCTTACACCCATAGAATGGACCAAAGTTGCCCAATCAGTGCTATCTCGTGGCCAGTATTTAACCTGGAAGGCAGAATTGTTAGAAAAACTTGAAACTCAAGCTAATGTTAACAAACAAAACACAGCAACGTCCTCTTGGACTCTAGATAAATTGATAGGTCGAGGGAAATATGCGGTTGAAAAGAAACAACAAGCGCTGCCCGTGGGGTTGCTCAATCAACTAACCCAGGCTGCATTGACCACCTGGCGGGCCATTCCTTCCCCCACTTCAGTGGGTACTTCCCTTTCTAAAATTATCCAAGGCACCAGCGAACCTTATGCTCAATTTGTGGCCAGGCTCTTAGAAGCTGCAGAAAGAATCCTGGGAGAAAATAGCACTGATGACCCGATTATAAAGCAGCTTGCTTTTGAGAATGCCAACTCGGCCTGTAAGGCTGCTTTAAGGGGCAAAATGAAAACCTTAGACCTTCATGGTATGATTAGGCTTTGCAATGAGGTTGATTCCTTTGAACATAAGCTTTCTAAATCCATCAGCCTAGCTATGGGCGCAGCGCTCCATCCCATGAATGCCAGGCAGGTTACTTCAAAATCCTGTTATAGATGCGGAAAGCCTGGACATTTTGCAAAATATTGTACTGAGGGAGCTAATAACCCAGACCCCTCACAAACACAAACCGCGTTTAGATCTCCCTTGCCTGGACTCTGCCCACGCTGTAAGAAAGGAAATCATTGGGTCAAGGAATGCCGCTCCAAGTATGATGTTAATGGACAGCTCCTCCCTGCGGTTCAGGGAAACGGGCAAGGGGCCCCACTGAGGGGCCCCAACCCTTTCTCTCAACAAATTCCTCAGAGACAGACAAGTTCCCACAACCCGTTCACCAGCCACCATCCGATCCAAGCCTTTGTAGGGCCACAGCAGGAAGCGCAGGATTGGACCTCTGTTCCTCCACCACCCGAATTATAACTCCGGAGGAAGGAACTGTTATTCTGGATACTGGGCTTTGTGGTCCTCCGCCCCCAGGCATGTTTTTTCTAATCATAGGGCGAGCATCAAGTTCCTTACAAGGACTCTCAATAACACCTACCCTGGTTGATAATGATTATCAGGGCGAAATAAAAGTTTTAGTCTCAGCCCCTAGAGGACCCCTTATGATATCACAGGGACAGCGTATAGCCCAGGCACCTCCCCTTCCCCTTTGCGGAGATTATCCTTCAGTTGCACCAACTCGAGGTCAGTCTCAACCAGGATCCTCAAATATATACCGGGTTCAAAAATTAACAGAAACTAGACCCACTTTGCAATTATGGCTCGATGGAAAACTCTTCCTTGGTCTGCTGGATACGGGAGCAGACGCTACTGTCCTGTCTAAGACCCATTGGCCACAGAATTGGCCCTTACGGGCTACAGCCACACACCTTCAGGGCATTGGACAAAGCCAAAACACTCTCCAAAGTTCTAAAGTTCTACAATGGAAATACAAGGAAGGCAATACAGGCACAGTTACTCCTTTTGTTGTGAAAGGCCTACCCGTTAATCTTTGGGGAAGGGACATACTTACCCAGATGGGGGTTATTATGATGAGCCCCAATGAGACTGTTACTAAGATGATGCTAAAAACAGGATTTCTACCGGGAAGGGGACTGGGGAAAGGGGAACAGGGAATGTTACAACCCATCACCCCTATACAAAAGATGAATAGGCAAGGACTTGGAAAGGATTCAAAAAACATTACCCCTGCTTATTCTTTTTCTTGAGGGCCATTGCTCCTCCTGCACTTCATGCTGAAAAGATAACTTGGAAATCTGACGACCCAGTATGGATAGATCAATGGCCCTTATCTCGAGAGAAAGTTCAGGCAGCCTTACTGTTGGTGCAGGAACAGTTAGATCAAGGACATCTCGAACCATCCACCTCCCCTTGGAATACGCCGATATTTGTGATTAAAAAGAAATCAGGAAAATGGAGACTCCTTCAAGATCTCCGAGAGGTTAACAAAACCATGGTCCCTATGGGAGCAATGCAGCCTGGAATGCCTACACCTGTGGCCATTCCTCGGGGATATAACAAAGTTATTATTGATATTAAAGATTGCTTTTTTTCTATCCCGCTCCATTATGATGATTGCAAGAGATTTGCCTTCTCCATTCCTACTAATCAAGTAGGACCAAATCCTAGATATCAATGGAGAGTCCTACCCCAGGGGATGGCAAATTCACCTACCCTTTGCCAGAAATATGTCGCCCAAACCATAGATCCTTTTCGATTGAAATTTCCTGAAACATATATTGTACATTACATGGATGATATTTTAATAGCCACCAAGACCTCTAAAGAATCTCATACATTAGCATTAATGATAGTCCAGGCATTGCAAGAGCGAGGATTTTGCATCGCTCCAGAAAAAATTCAAACGCAGTTTCCATTTTTGTTTTTGGGTTTTGAACTTTATCCTGACCTTTTATATACCCAAAAATTTCAAATTAGAAAAGATTCCTTAAAAACATTACATGATTTTCAAAAGTTATTGGGCGATATTCAATGGTTACGGCCCTATTTACAACTCACAAAAGGTGATATTCGTCCCCTTGAAGATATACTTACTGGTGATACAGATCCCTTGTCCCCGCGGACACTTACCCCAGAAGCACTCTTAGCCCTTAAAAGGGTGGAGGATGCCATTATAAAACAACATATAGGATATTTTTGCCCTGAACAACCCCTACAGTTAATTATCTTCCCTACAGAATTTTCCCCGACTGGCTTACTCTGGCAAAGCTCCGTTCCACTCCTCTGGGTCCATCTTCCCATTGCCAAACGAAAAGTGCTTCCTATTTATCCTCTCTTGGTTTGTCAATTGATTATGTTGGGGTTAAGGGCTGCGACCAAATATTTTGGCAAGGAACCTGATAAAGTTACACAACCTTATGATAAAATTAATCTAGAATGGCTAGCCCTTCACCATCCCGAATGGGCTGTTCTTGTTTGTTCATATAAAGGAAATTTTGATACGCAGTTGCCTAGTGATAAATTGATTCAATTCTTCTCTTACACTCCCTTCATTTTTCTTCAAAACACAAAATTAGAGCCTATTCCAAATGCATTGACAGTTTTCATTGATGGATCAAAAAATGGCCGAGCTGCATATGTTCTTGATGGCGTAACAACAGCCATCGACACCCCCTTTTTCTCTGCACAATTGGTGGAATTATATGCCGCACTAACCGTACTGCAGAAATTTGAACATCGTCCTGTTAATATTTATTCTGTTAGCCATTATGTGGTTGGAGCGTTAAAAAAATTAGAAATGGTTCCCACTATTCAACCACAGACACCCACTTTTGATATGTTTTATAAAATACAAAACCTCATTAGACAGAGAGACCACCCCTTTTACATTGGACACATCCGAGCGCATACAGGTCTTCCAGGCCCCTTGGCCTTAGGAAATGAATTGGCCGATTTAGGCACCAGAATGCCCCAAACATTTTTTTCAGAAATAAAAGGAATAGCGGCTGCACAAAAGGCCCATCGACTCCATCATCTCAATGCTCAGACATTGCATCATAAATTCCTTATTACTAGGGAACAAGCCCGGGAAATTGTCAAATCTTGTAAAAATTGTTTGCCCTACTTGCCAGAACCACACTTTGGGGTAAATCCACGAGGCCTTATGCCCGGACAACTCTGGCAAATGGATGTAACACATCTCCCTACCTTTGGAAAGCTTAGATATATCCATGTTACCGTGGATACCTTCAGCGGGTTCATTGTTGCTTCTGCACATACCGGAGAGGCCACTAAGGATGTAATTGGCCACATGATGCAAGCTCTGGCTACCTTAGGTCAACCAATGTCTGTTAAAACGGACAATGGCCCTGGATATACCAGTTCAAAATTTAAACAGTTCTGCACAGCATTGGGAATCGAACATGTTACCGGAATCCCTTATAATCCTCAAGGGCAAGGTATTGTCGAACGAACCCACCAAACTTTAAAGAACACCATTAATAAATTAAAGACACAAGAGATGTTGTTCCCCCACAAAGGCAATCAAAAATTGGTGCTGGCACAAGCTCTCTTTGTTCTAAATTTCCTGACGCTCGATGAGCAAGGGAAATCGGCAGCAGACAGACACTGGCATCCCAAAACCCATCAAGGATATGCTAAAGTTTTATGGAAAGACCCTATAACTGGAATATGGAATGGACCTGATCCAGTGCTAATTTGGGGTAAAGGTTCCGCTGCCATATATGATACAAAGGAAAAGGGAGCAAGATGGCTCCCAGTTAGGCTGATTAAACCTTTCTCTGATACCAAGCAGGCCCAGGGATGTACCCCCTGAGGAAACATTTTTCTGTTTATATTACAGAAACGCAACGCTTTAGAATGCAAGATATCTTTGCCAAAAATATTGAACCGCTTTATGGAGCCCTCGCAGTAACCTTGATGATTTTAATTGTCCTTTCTGCTGTTTTTGCCTTCGCTGTTACAAGCCAGGCCAGGAATGTACGTGTCTCAAATAGATTCTGCACTGAAACCTGCTGAAGTTCATTATTATCGCTTAGCTGTTGATGAAGAAGCGGCCAATAGAGAAATTGCCAGTAAAGAAGATGCAATGATCGAGCTTGGAGAACAGAAGAGATCTTTGATGGTTGATCAGCAGGCTGCAGTTGCTGATCGGCTGCCGGAGACTTCTCCTTCTCCCCCTCAACCCTTTTCCCACTCCCCACTTAGATTTACCCCAAGCCCAGGCCCAGGGTGGAAATTCTGGAAAAAGATTTTAAATTAAGTTTCAAAATTTTGGCCTTATTAGATCTGTCCCCATGGTGCTTTGACTCTAAATGTCCCATGAGGAAGAAGACTGGAAAGTCAGTGACGGAAGAATTGTTTAAGCCTAGGCCCACCTCAGACAGGGCATTTTAATGGGGAGGATGTCCCCAGGACGGGTAAAGGTCTAGCATCAGTCTTCTACCAGGCTGTCTCTCCCATGGCTCTGACCTTGACAACAGCCATAGAGTTACAGAACACCCACTGCCGAGGCCTTGCACGCTGAGGGCTAGCTCCCATTGCACCAGCTTAGGCTCGGATCAATTTTGTGTCTGCTCCAGCTTCAGAGTCTTTGGTCTTGCAATTATTAGAGTGGCACCCAGATCCCAAATTCCAGTTGGCTCATTTATTTATATAGAGAGGGGGAGATGTTGGGGACCAAGAAGCCCCCTGATCCAAAGTACTGATCACTCTTCCCCATTCCCTCTGCAAAAATAGATTACTGCAGAACAGCCTATTGCACAATCAGCAATAGGTCTTGGGACAGAATTGACCACAGACCTTTTGATGAGACATTACACATATAGCTGTTGTCTTTTGACACGTCCCGTGGTCCAGAGACATTACTGATAGCACAAATTTAGCTGGAAGCGTCTTGTGGTTAGGGTATTTTATGAAAAATTACTACTTCCCCTTTGGCCTCGAGCATTATAGTTTTCCTTCCCCTCCAACCTTACCCCTCCCTGCCAAAACTGCCCTATAAGAATAAATCACTGCTTGCAATAAACGGAACCTTGACGCATTTCAGATTGACTCTGTCATTCTTTGCTCGCGCTTGGTTCTCTTTCTCTTTCCCTCCCTTCCTACCCAGGTGATCCCGAACTCGAGGCCCACGAATAACCTGGCCTGCAGGACGGGTCACTTAATTTGTGTAAAGATTCCACTTCTACACCCTTTATTACTCTAGCTTAAAAATGGTCAGTGAGGAATACCTTCGGGAGGTTCTGGAAGAGTGAATAATTAAAATATGGGTTCAATTAAAAATTATTTGTAGAGGCTAGTCAGCTGGTTTAGCTGGTAATTTGCTGGCAAGCCTGAAGGACCTGCGTTTGAACTTTAGGACCCACACTGTAGAAGGAGAGAAATTACTTCCAGAAGCTGTCCTCTGATCACAAGCATACTATGGCATGTGCAACATACATACACACGCATGCATGCGTGCACATATGCACACATGCTAAAAACTGTTTAAAAATGTCCTCATGGTGCTAAAAATAGAAAGAATGTAATTTTTATTGACCATCTTATTAGGACCATGTTGTTTCAAATTATATCAGATTTAACTAACACACTGTACTCTGATCTCATGGGTCTTTGTAAGAAGGTTTTGTCTCCACGTATCAAATTAGAAAATTCAGGACAGCGACTGGACTAGTTTGGGAAAATCTGTTCAATTCCAGGATGTACAGAATTTCTTCTCAAAATGGCTTGTAACTAGGCCCCTGGAATAGCTATCAGAAACCAATGTCTAGGACTAAGACACTCACAATATTTTTGAATGGCCAGCTCCCTGGGCAACGTAGATTTAAGAGTAGAGTGGATGCTTTAAGGACATTTTCCTAGGCATCTGGATTATGGGGTTTGGCAGTGGCAGAAAGGGTAACAAAATAAAGGCCTACACACCCAGAGAGATATGACAGAGTGCTGGAAAAGACAAAGAAGATGGAAGAAAAGGCAGAGAGAGCATTCCGAAGGCCATCTCCCTTCCTTTCCTCCTAAATAGGGTCAAAGCTCTGCCCGTACGGACATGGCTGCACAAATGGAGATTCACCGCAGCTCCCTTGATCCTGCCCCTGGAGCTCATCCCTCAGGTCTGGGACTCACCCACAACGAGGCAGAAGAGGGAGAAGAGTAGTAAGACATGCCTGTTCATTTGGGCCCAGATTGTCTTGAGTGGAGCAGAGCTATGAAGGGCTGCAAGCAGAAGTCAGCTGGGCTCCAGGGAGAGGCTTTCTGCTCCAGCAGAAGTTGGTGATTATTCATGCCTAAGGGGAGCCGGTCACACTAGGTTTATTTTGAGTGCTCAAGTTCACACTAGGTTTATTTTGAGTGCTCAAGTTCATTGGCTGTGGTCTTCAAGTCTTGAGTCCTGGAGTCGGAGGTTGACCAGGTAGTTTTAAGGTAAAAGGACCCTGAAATGTGAACAATTTCTTGGTTAGAAGCTAGAAATGTCTTTGAGCCTGTGAGCAGCCTTGTGCTTGCTGGAGATCCAGGGTATTTAAGGGTTTTAAACTAAAATGTCTCTGATTCTGTTTGTTCATTGATGGATTTTCGTATGTTGAACCATCCCTGCATCTCTGGGGTGAAGCCCTACTTCATGGTAGATGATGTTTCTGATGTGTTCTTGGATTCACTTTGCCGTTATTTTATTGAGTATTTTTGCATCAGTGTTGATGAGGGAGATTGGTCTTTAATTCTCTTTATCAGTAGCCTATTTGTGTGGTTTGGGTATCAGGGTAACTTTAACCTCGTAAAAAGAGTTTGACAGTGTTCCTTCTGCTTCTATTGTGTGGAACAATGGAGCATTGGTATTAGCTCTTCTTTGAAATTCTGGCAGAATTCTGCACTGAAATCATCTGGCCTTGGGCTTTTTTGGTTGGGGGACTTTTGATGACTCTGTTTCCTTATGGGTTATAAATCTACTTAATTTGTTTTTATGGTCTTGATTTAATTTTTGTATGTGGTACTTATCCAGAAAATTGACCATTTTAAAAAAAAGTTTTCCAAATTTGTGGAGTACAGGTTTTTGAAGTATGACCTGATGATTTTCTGGATTTCCTCCATGTCTGTTGTTATGTCCCCTTTTTCATTTCTGATTTTGTTAATTTGGATATTCTCTCTCTGCTCTTTGGTTAGTTTGGATAAAAGTTTGTCAATCTTGTTGATTGACAACAACAAAGAACCAGCTCTTTGTCTCATTGAGTCTTTATATGGTTTTCTTTGTTTCTATTTAATTGATTTCAACCCTCAATTTGATTATTTTTTGCTGTCTACTCCTTCTGGGTGATTTTGCTTAATTTGTTCTAGATCTTTCAGGTGTTCTGTTAATTCATTAGTGTGGGATTTTTCCCAGCTTCTACATGTAGGCATTTAGTGCTATGAACTTTCCTATTAACTTTTCATTGTGTCCATTAAGTTTTGGGTACGTTGTGAGGTCATTTTCATTGAATTTTAGGAAGACTTTAATTTCTTTCTTTCTTTATTCCTTGATACAGTGGTGATTCAGCTGAGTATTGTTCAGTTTCCATGTGTTTATGGGCTTTCTGAAGTTAGTGTTGCTGTGAATTCTAACTTTAAGCTATAGTGATCTGATAAGATACATGGGGTTATTCCAATTTGTATCTGTTGAGGTTTGCTTTGTTACCAATTATGTGGTCAATTTTTGAAAAGAATCCATGGGGTGCTAAAAAGAAGGTATATTCTTTTGTGTTTGGGTGGAATATTCTATATATGTCTGTTAAGTCCATTTGAGTCATACATCTGCTAGTTCCTTTATTTCTCTGTTAAGTTTCTGTCTGGCATACCTGTCCAGTGGTGAAAGTGGGATGATGAAGTCTCCCACTATTAGTATGTGGTGCTTAATATGTGATTTAAGTTTTAGTAATGTTTCTTTTACAAATGTGGGTACCTTTGTATTTGGGGCATAGATATTCAGAACTGAGATTTCCTCTTGATGGATTTTTCCTGTGACAAATATAAAATGTCCTTCTTTGTCTCTTTTGATTGATTTTAGTTTGAAGTCTCTTGTTAGATATTAGGATAGTTACACCAGCTTGTTTCTTAGATCCATTTGATTAGAATTTTTTTTCCAACCCTTTACTCTGAGGAAATGTCTGTCTTTGAGAGTTAGGTGTGTTTCTTGTATACAGTATAAGCAAGAGTTTTGGAGGGGTTTTTTTTTGTTTTTTTATTTATTTATTTATTAAGGATTTCTGCCTCCTCCCCGCAACCGCTTCCCATTTTCCTCCCCCTCCCCCAATCAAGTCCCCCTCCCTCATCTGCTCGAAGAGCAATCAGGGTTCCCTGACCTGTGGGAAGCCCAAGGACCGCCCACCTCTATCCAGGTCTCCTAAGGTGAGCATCCAAACTGCCTAGGCTCCCCCAAAGCCAGTACGTGCAGTAGGATCAAAAATCCACTGCGATTGTTCTTGAGTTCTCAGTATTCCTCATTGTCCGCTATGTTCAGCTAGTCCGGATTTATCCCATGCTTTTTCAGACCTAGGCCAGCTGGCCTTGGTGAGTTCCCGATAGAACATCCCCATTGTCTCAGTGTGTGGGTGCACCCCTCGTGGTCCTGAGTTCCTTGCTCGGGCTCCGTCTCCTTCTGCTCCTGATTTGGACCTTGAGATTTCTGTCCGGTGCTCCCATGTGGGTCTCTGTCTCTGTCTCCTTTCATCGCCTGATGAAGGTTAATATTCATGAGGATGCCTATGTGTTTTGCTTTTGGATTCACCTTCTTATTTAGCTTCTCTAGGAACATGAATTATAAGCTCACTGTCCTTTATTTATGGCTAGAAACCAAATATGAGTGAGTACATCCCATGTTCCTCTTTTTGGGTCTGGCTTACCTCACTCAGGATAGTGTTTTCTATTTCCATCCATTTGTATGCAAAATTCAAGAAGTCCTTGTTTTTTACTGCTGAGTAATACTCTAATATGTATATATTCCATATTTTCTTCATCCATTCTTCCATTGAAGGGCATCTAGGTTGTTTCCAGGTTCTGGCTATTACAAACAATGCTGCCATGAACATAGTTGAGCATATACTTTTGTTGTATGATAGGGCCTCTCTTGGGTATATTCCCAAGAGTGGTATTGCTGGATCAAGGGGTAGGTTGATCCCAAATTTCCTGAGAAACCGAAACACTGCTTTCCAGAGTGGTTGCACAAGTTTGCATTCCCACCAGCAATGGGTGAGTGTACCCCTTTCTCCACAACCTCTCCAGCAAAGGCTATCATTGGTGTTTTTTATTTTAGCCATTCTGACAGGTGTAAGATGGTATCTTAAAGTTGTCTTGATTTGCATTTCCCTGATCGCTAAGGAAGTTGAGCATGCCCTTAAGTGTCTTTTGGCCATTTGAAGTTCTTCTGTTGAGAATTCTCTGTTCAGCTCAATGCCCCATTTTATAATTGGGTTGATTAGCCTTTTACGGTCTAGTTTCTTGATTTCTTTATATATTTTGGAGATCAGACCTTTGTCAGTTGCGGGTATGGTGAAAATCTTCTCCCAGTAAGTGGGTTGCCTTTTTGTCTTAGTGACAGTGTCCTTTGCTTTACAGAAGCTTCTCAGCCTCAGGAGGTCCCATTTATTCAATGATGCCCTTAGTGTCTATGCTGCTGGGGTTATACGTAGGAAGTGGTCTCCTGTGCCCATGTGCTGTAGAGTACTTCCCACTTTCTCTTCTATCAGGTTCAGTGTGTTCAGACTGATATTGAGGTCTTTAATCCATTGGGACTTGAGTTTTGTGCATGGTGATAGATATGGATCTATTTTCATTCTTCTACAGATTGACATCCAGTTTTGCCAGCACAATTTGTTGAAGATGCTCTCTTTTTTCCATTGTATACTTTTAGCTCCTTTATCAAAAATCATGTGTTCATAGGTTTGTGGGTTAAAGTCAGGGTCTTCTATTCGATTCCATTGGTCGACTTCTCTGTTTTTATGCCAATACCAAGCTGTTTTCAATACTGTAGCTCTGTAATAGAGTTTGAAGTCAGGGATGGTAATGCCTCCAGACAAT